GAACCTTTCATCATGATTGGCAGTTGTTGTATCCCATACCAAAATGTCATCTATGTCTGTTTCAACACCAGGTAGGTTCTCAATATGTTGGGAGATTCTCTTCTGAAATACCTCTTGTGCTGAATTGATTCCAAAAGGCATTCGCAGATAGCAATATCTACCAAAGGGTGTATTAAACGTAGTGAGTAGTTGACTGGACTCATCAAGTGGTATTTGCCAGTATCCATGGTTGGCATCTCGTTTTGAGAACTTTAGCTCCAGACATACGTGTTGTTATGTCTTCAAGTGTAGGCAATTGATAATGCTCTCGTTTGATTGCTTTATTTAAGTCTCTTGGGTCTAGACATATGCGTAGTTTACCCGTCTTTGGTATCTCTACAACAACCATGGAGTTCACCCAGTCTGTTGTCTCATCTACCTTATGAAGTACTTTCTGTTTTTCCATCTCGTCCAGTGTTTTTCTCAGTTTAGTCACGAAGTGATGCTCTTATCTTCCTTGGTGGATGTACTACTGGTACAGCTGAGGTGTCTAACCTGATATGATATGGTTCAGTTAGACAGCCTAATCCTCCATCGAACACTTGTGGAAATTTCTCCATTATCATGGTTTTCTTCTCTTCTTTTTGAATATTCATGACTACCTTGATTAAGCCCAAGTCTTGTGAAGCTTTAAATCCCAGTAAAGGTGGTTGGTCAGTCTCTGTGACGTAGAAATCCAGATCTTTGTCCATGCAGTTTAACTTGCATTTCCCATGTACCTTTAATTTTTCATCACTATAACTTGTCAGTGTAATGCGAGTCTTCTGAATTTGAATGCTAGAGTCTTTGATTTTCTTAAATATCTTCACTGGTATGATGTTTGCTTGAGATCCTGTATCTATTTTGAATCTCACATCTGTACCCATGAATATTAGTTGTCACATAGCACTCGTCTTCTTTTGACCTCAGTGTTGCATTTCTTTTTTATGGCTCCAACATAGAGTGTACTGGATTCAGTATCTGATTCTTCTTCATTTAATCCGTGGACACTGATTTTGGATCTACAGTACTTTTGGTAGTGATTCATTTTGTGGCATTTCAGACATCTCCTACCATATGCTGGACATTGTTTTCTTGCGTGTACAGTCCCACATTTGCCACACTTCTCTTTCTTAGGATTATCATGGCTTTGTTTTTGGCTTGTGCCACTGTAGTTGGATTTCTTGATTTGTTTTTGTTGTGCATAAGTTTTCTTTGATCTTACACTATGTACACTGGTTTCTTCAGCCAGATCTTGCCTATTTTTCTTTGATTCTTCATGAGCTCTGCATATGGTTAGTGTTTTCTCTAGGTTTGGATCTTGTTTCTGCAGTAGTTTGTCTTTAACTTGCTCACAGTAAATACCACATATTATTCTGTCACGAATCAGTTCATCACGCATTGTGCCAAATGCACAATCCTTTGCTAATATTTTTAGTGCTGTGACGAAATCATCAATGGATTCATTTCTTCCTTGATTTCTAGTGTTGAACTTGTGACGAGAAACTACAAGGCTTTTCTTTAAGGCGAAATGTTTTTCAAACTTGTCTAAGATGTCTTTTGGTACAGTGCTTTTATCATCATCTTCTTCCGTGAACTCAAAAGTTTCAAAGATTTCCCTACCTTCAGGGCCTATGATGTACTGAATAACTTTGCTTTTCTCAGCATCAGTTTTGTCTGCCATACCAACATCTAAATACAACTCTACTGTTTTCCTCCATTGTTTCCATCTTGCAGCCTTATTGCCTTCAGTGGTAAAATCACATTTCTGGTGGTTGTCTAAAATTATTGTGTGCCATAATTTACAA